ACAGGCCGTAACTGCCTAGAGTTCCCTACTTTCCCCTTAGCATCTTTTCTCTAGTAGCCACTTCTCAAATCCTCTAGTTGGGAATTCTGACCTCCAAACTTCAATTTATTGAAAGTCTAATGCTGTTATAAGGAAGGACAGGCTCTCCTTTTCCTTGGCTTATCGGTCTCTTGGGTGGGGTCGGGAGGGGGGATAGTGGAGTGGGGAGCCCCAGCACCATTATTTCTCTCTCCAGCCTCTCCTTGCCTTTCCTGGGAACCTTTTCCTGACGGCTTCAGACCTCCACGCTGGAGTTCTGGGGTGTCACAGCTGTCAGCTCCGCCAGCTCCTCAGGTTTCCCGGCCGTAAAACCGTCGCCTCGAGCTCTAAAGGATTTCCCTGACGATCCGATTGAGGTGGAAAGCTTTTTTTTTTTTCCTTTTTAACGTGTAAAGTTCCTCCGCTGATTTATTCCGCTCTCAAACGAGCGGAAATTTGACCCGTGTTTTCCGACGTGAGCTGGGAACCCCTTGCGACCCAGGTTTCCAAATCTCCCCTTCGAGGACCTGGGCATTTCTGAAAGGCGTGACAATAGGGTTTGGGCCGGAGAGGGCAATTCGATGCAGACAAATGAAAAGAAGTCGGAATAATGGGGCAGAGGTTTAGAAACTCGGCCAAAAGACCACAAAAGAAAAAAAAGTGGCTGAAGTTCCTTAGCCCTGAGGGGCTACATACAGGTGAGCGCACCCCAAGAGTAGCGATCCCTGAGCTATCCGCACTTCGCGAAGCTCCCAGGGTGATGAGGTCCTGCAATGGGGCGCCCTCGCAGCCCCAAAAACCCAAGTCTAGCCTGACGCTGCCACTACAGCCCTTCTCTGAAACTTCTCGAGGGCCCGAGAACTCCAGCTCTCTTTCTCAGGGTCACTCAGTGCAAGCCCCACGGTCTTCGATGTCCCTGCAAACTTTGCTTTGGGCCGACCCGCAGAGACCGCGTGTGGCGGGAATCGGGACTGCAAAGGAATAGGGCCCCCTGACCTGAAACGCGACCATTCACTCCTGCTTGATTCCCCCACCTCGCTGCGTCCACTTTGCGCAGACCTAGGAAGGCTTTGGGTGCCTGCCAGCGCGCACACTTTCCGCACACACCGCAGCCGCGGACGGCCCTGGGGGCCCGCACTTACGCGCCGTGATGCCCGGGTGCTCCAGCTCACCGCGGTCGTTGGTGCAGCCGCCCTGCTCCAGCCTGGCGTCGGCCGCGGCGCAGCAGTAGCGCAGCGCGCAAGAGCCGCAGCAGATGGTGGCGTCCAGGGTGTCGAAGTCCTCCGGACACTGAAAGCCCTCGTGGTAGTTGCCCTGCAAGTCCACCCAACCGTGGCAGTACTCTCCCGGCTGCTGGGCTCCCGCCGGGCCCCAGCGCATCCAGCACAGAAGGAGGCAGAGCGCCAGCAGCGCCCCCATCGCCGCAGGCGCCCTGGGCTGCGGGAGGAGGACGCAGCTGAAGAGCTAAGAGCTAAGCTGAGGCTCTGGGCGCACCGCGGTTCCACCTTACCTGGGGCGCGGCCCGGGCTGCTGCCCCGGCAGCGGAGGCCACTCCCGCGCTGGTTAGCAGGGGCCGGGGAGGCAGCAGGAGCTGCGCCGCGGGCTCTGCAGACCCGGGGTCAGCATGGTGCCCTGGGGCGACTGGGCGAGGGCCCGTAGGAGGCACAGGCTAAGGCTGCTGCTGGGGCTGCTGCTGCTGCCCTTTGCCCGGCTCATAATGCTCCTTGCGCGAGGGGCGCGTCGAACCCTCTGCCACCTTTCTCCCCACTCCTCACGGGAGCCATCGCTCCAGGGGTTGGCAAATCCAGGGCCGCACAGTGTACCGACTTGTGGCTGTCGCCGGGTACCAAGCCGAGCCCAAAGGAAGAATTTAAGATCCCCACGTGCGAGTCGAGGGAGAAGTGGCCCCTCAGCCCCCGCCCCTGTCTGTCAGGGAAGCAGGAGTCAGCGTGGCAGCGGCCAAGTACAAACGGCCTCCCAGTTGCTGACAGCTTTGCCTGCAAGGCGTCCTTTAAAAAGGAAGAGGGAGGGGGAGACAGCGAGGGTGAAGAAAGAGTCCTCCCTCCCGGGTCGCGCCGCTGGAGCTAATCACCGCCGGCGCGGCGCGGGCAGCTAGTCCTTCGCGCTTTCTGGTTCGCGCGCCATCCTCCGCCTTCCCCCGGCCACCCCCGCCCACCAGGCGCTCCCCCAGGACTCAACGCTAAACTAAAAGGGTCCAGGCCCTCCCCACTCCCACTCCAACTCTCACACAGCCCAGAAAGCTCTGCAGAATGAGGGGAGGGCTGCTGGGTTTCTGCGTCTATTCACGCGTGTTGGCACGCGGGTGGAGACGCGGGTTTTGCTTGTTGTGGATGTATAATAAAAACGATCGCGGTGACTGAAGTTTGTCGAATCTTCTGTCGCCTGTTGCACAGATCCGGACTTGTCCCTGGGACACCTGTTCTAGGGTTAACATAATTTTTAGGGGCCGCCAAAATGTGCACTGAGTTGTCCACTTAAGTTTTCACTTTTCGAGGAGGACCGGCACATTTTCACAAATACACACACTTGCACTCTTCCCCACCCTCCTAACCTGCGCGTCGCCGGGTGAAGAATCACTTGTCACCTCCAACAGCCGAGGGCAGCTCGCAAAGCCTCAAACAGCACGACTTCTCCATTCGCGCCTGAAAAAGAAATCAAACAACTAAATTAATGATAATTGAGCAGATCTGAACTTCTGTTCGGGCAAAGAAACACATTTATTTAAATGATGTGTCCCCAGTGTGCTATTTTCAGGGGCACTGCTCCTTCAGCGGCGTAAGTGCCTTATGAAACTGGTGTTATGTGAAACCTGGGCTAAACGCAAGAATTTATTTTTACTGCATCCTGAACTTCCTCTCATCGTTTATTGGTACGCGCGAATATGTTCCTCGTATCTCAACTTATTTGTCAAACATGCTGAATGCCCGTGTCACTGATTTAGATGTTGGCAAGCTGAGTGGAACAAAAGCGACCAAGTTCGCAGTAACCAACAACAAAAAATGTGCGGTCAAAGCGTTTACCATGCCCGCAGCTTCTCCATGGTCCCAGTTGGTTCGGGAAAGCTTAAAAAAAAAAGTTAAAAAAATTTTTTTAATAAAACGGTTTCTTTCTAAAAACCTGTTAAAGTTTACCCCAAGTAAATAATTACTTTTGGTTTTAAATATTGGGATTAGCATTTAATTACGTAAATGTAAAAATACTGCTCAACATTTCAGATTTTAAGTAAGAATGTGTAAATATTTAGCTTTATTGCTCTCTTAAATTTTTGGGGGGACAATAATAATAATAAGAGTAAAACCAAATTAAATTCGGGCTTTTATCCACAAACAATGGAACAGTTTTTCTTGACTTAAAAATTAAGCATATGGAAAATTATTTTGCAGAAATTTCTTACTGTGTTTTTATTTACCAAAAAAAATGTTCTTGCCAGATCAACGGTTTTTTTATGTTGATTTTAGTAGTATTGTTTGGATTATATATACCCTGAGCAATTAAGGGGGGAAAGTCATTTAGAACCACAGCAAAAGTGAGATATAGTGATTATAATAAGATGATAAAACTACAAAGACATGTTTACTGCTAATAACTTTCCCAGAACCACACCTCTTAATATTATTTTTGGTAAATTTAGAGGAATTCCATTACATCACAACTACATAAAATTCTGTAGCAGCAATGGCAACCTTTGCTAGTCCCCCAAGGGTCAAGTTTCTCTCATTATCCAGCTGTTCTTTGATAGCATTAATATTTTAAGGAGTGATTTGTTGACGCTCACCTCCCATTAATTACATTCTCCATGCCACAGTGGGATTCTTTTCCTTAGGACATCAACTAGAATTAATTCCCTCATTCAAAGCCCTTGTCTATTTGACTTATTTGGACATTTTACTCGAATTTAGTTGGATATTTACTAAGGGAAAATTACCGAACCTCCAAATTACTTGGTACGCCATAGAGCTGATGTGTGTGAACATTAAAACAACGGTACACCATGCTTTTATATTTAAGTCCTGATCCAAAGTGCTTTTAAACCAGTACAACAATCGGGTTAGGGGGAAATGTGTTTGTGTTGCATAGGGGGAAATGTGTTTGATTCCTTGACATGGAATATCTCCTCAAATTTTACATGACAAATTTTAACTGCAAAAGTGTTCTCAGAATACTCTTTGGGAACAGTAAGAGAATATATACTTCCTTTTAGGTTTATAAACACTCAAAGTTTCTTATTCTGTTACTACTTTAATAGTAAAGGAAGATTAAAAAGTTCTCATAGACCTCCTTCAAAGACCCTAGGGGGAGGACATGAAAATGGAAAATAAAATCTACATCATCTAGGGTATTATGTAGAGGTTTTAGAAATTCTATATTTTTCCTTATCTAAGTAACACAAATTCCATATTTTGGTGAAGAACACAATCATAAGAGGTCATTTCCTCAGCCTACATTCTCTTGTGGCCCTGCCTCCAGGAAATTGTATAGGAAATGAGTTAAATGATATGATGTCTGGGATTTGCTTTAATAAATGGGGTGGGGGGAGGGAGTGGAAGGAGAGAAGGGAAATAAAGGAAAAGGTAGGGGAGAAATGGAGATGCGAAGGTGGAACAGATGAAACTGAAACTCAGTTGGCAATATCGTAACTGTAGCTGGGTGAAGGTACTTGTAAAAATCAAAATGCAATTCTACTTTTTACTTTTTGTATGAACAAAAATAACATGTTAAAAAAATTTTATTGTTAAACGATAGGAATCAGTAGTAGCATAAAACTAGCACTGGACCATATTTTAAACCTTGTCCTGAACACTTTTCTTTGTTTTCTATTCTTTAGAGCAGATTGAAAGATTGGCAAAAGCAAAAGCAGAGAAGTGAAGAAAATAGGGCAAAATGGATGCCTCAGAAGTACTAAGGAAAGGGTGAGAAAAAGCCAAAGGAATACGGAAGTGAAAAAATAAATAAATAATGACGGTTAACTTTAGCTAAGGAAATCTTTCCAGTTCATTTGCATTGGAACCAGAAATAAAATAGAAAACAAAAAGTTTTTCAACGTTCCCTGGAGTGATTCATTATCACTAACCTTTCTTTAACTACTTTGCCCATGACTTAATGGAATTCTCTTCTTTGGATCATTTACTATAAATCTCTTTTCCAGGACTCTGTCAATTTGAGTTACTGGAAAGGTATTTTTTCTCAAATTTGCTTTCACATATTCACCACTAGAGAACAGCAAGGTGCCCAAAAGAATACTCCCAGATCCTGGCAGCCCAGCCTCAAGCCGGCCCTTCCCCAGCATCAGATTTATAAAGAGGGGATTAGGCATAGGGCTCCTAGAGCAGTGTTTCTCAAACTAAATATACATATGAAATCACCTGGGAACCTGACTAAAATGCAGATTTTGATCACCATGGTCTGTGGATTGGCCCGTGCTTCTTCATTTCCAGCAGGCTCACAGGTGATTCAGGGGCTTCTGGTCTGAGGACCATCCTCTGCGTCCCTTGCCTCCACCTACAGGGGAAGGAATGAATAGAGCCAAAGGGACTTGCCCACCCAAAGCCCATTTCCTCCCTTTCTGTACCCCTCTTTGGGACTTGGAATCCCAGCACTTCCGGCTCAAATAGACACAAGCTCGCTTCCAGGGTTTGCAGAAGTCTCTTCCTGGTCTTAAGTAGTCCTAGGGGACGGTGATTAAAAACACAGGCTAGTATTTCTGAACCAGTACAAGAGGGACCCCCTGCAGTGCAAGATGGAGTCAAGGATGGGAAGAAGGAGGGGCCCAGCAGGTTCAGGCTAGTGGACTTCCTGTTTATTCTTGCACTGGCTTGCACAAAGTAGAGTGGACCTGTTGCCTAGTATACCATAGGAACTCAGTAAATAGTCCTAGAGGGAACAAGTGAATGTTTGAATAAATGACAAAATGAATGTTTTTCTCCACTGATCTTATAGTATTTACCATACTTCATTGTATTTTGTGATAAGGCATCTGGCTTCCCCATTAGTCTGATCTCTTGTTTTCTCATTGTATCCTAGAACCTAGCAGAGCACCTGGTACATAGTGAATGCTCAGTAAATGTTGAGTAAATAACTGACTGTAAACAACAAATGACTAGTTAAGAACTTGTGACAACAGACTCACATTCGTTTCACTACTGTCTAGAGCTGCAACAAGTGAGTATCTCTTGGAGTTATACCAATGGGGAGCACAGTGAATTTCTGGGAGTATTTGCAGAGTCAACTCCTGAAGACAATTGTAAATGTAGCTCATCAAGAACTGTCCACTGTGTCAGCGCTGCTAGAATAGGGCAGTCACCAGCCAAACCCCCATGAAGACAGTTGTGACACTTGTATAAGAGCTATGATGCAGAGAAAATCAACCAGCACAATAGAAAGAATATTCTAATTTTGAGTCAGACAAGTCTGGGTTTGAGTGTATCTCTTTCAGGTCATGTGACCTTGAGCATGCTCATTTCAGCTTACTGAACCTCAGTTTCCATATTTCTAAAAGCAGGTGTGGATGTGAAAGGGAACAACTCCTTCCATAAAGGATTGTTGTAGGATTCGAAATAAAACATGTAGCAAGTCTGGCTTAGAGTAGGGGCTTCAGAACCAGTGGGTATTACCTACCACCAGCTGGTTTGAATCTATAGTCAAATAATTATGGCAAGTTTCCTGCTAACCAGAATAAGTCTATGTCCTGATTATTTTTTAGAGTGGATTATTTACAGTTCTCCATCATTCATTCCTTTATTCATTCAACGTGCCCATTTATAACCACTGGCAATTGAATATTGATTATTCACTTTTAGAGTTGTTCTCCTGAGACAGGCCCCAAAGCTAGGAGCAGAGGAGAATAAGGTGGGTGTCAATGATCACAGAATAGGGACAGACCCTGTGAGACAGACCTTATTTCAGCTGGATTTCTACAAGGCGTAGCCCCAAACACAGGTGAGCATTTAATAAGTACCCAATTAGTCTGTGATTCCATATTATGTCACTAGAGATGTAATTTATTAACCTGGGATCCTGGCATCCTTCCAGTGCATGTATAATAGAATGACATTTTTCATGCAGAAATATAAATTAAATTAATTGGCATCGTATTTAATCGAAACTTCCTTGACGGTAGATAGATTCTTCCCCAACACCGCCCCTTTCTCAGCAAGGAACATTTCCTTCTGAGTGCTTGCAGAATGAAGAGAAGCCAGCCCCAATTCCTGGGACTCCCCAAGGAGCTGGCTTTCAGCCAGGTTTAGAGAAGCACAGGAAGCGAACTGACCCTGGAAAAATGGTAAGTTGCTGCTCAGCGACCATGTGTTCTTCTGGTGGTGGGAGGTTTTTAGAGAAGAAAATACAGGGGGCTCTTGTCATCTTTGTATCTTCTTACTCCCCTTCTCACCTTTACCAGCCACACGGAATGTTTTGAAAAATTTTAAGTCATCCTCAAAGTTTGTAAATCATAAGGAATTCTTTTGAAAGCTGCTATATAATTGCTGTCAAAGGTATCTTTTATTTTAATTTTTCTCCTTTTCAAATAACCTGTATTTGGTTAGCTCTATTGGTAACATAAGGGCTCAATAATGCAAAGTTCTTAACTTCCACACATGTGGGTTGACTAAGTTTCCTCTTTCTCAAGAATAGAGAATGCACACTTGACCATGGCTTGCAAACACCTGCTGTGAGTCATTTGACGGCATAAGAGAACTTAGATGTAACAGACACAATAAAAAATGCAGCATGGAAAATGAAATCAATGTTATACATTCCTTTAATGGGTCAATAGTGTCATCTTCCTAAATATTAGCCTTTCGTATCTAGCGCTCATGCACCCTTCATCCTGTCCTCATAACTGTGCATTGGAATTCTTTCTATTTGATCTGCTCCATCATCTAATTTCATCCAACCATTCATTCTGTACAGTAACCCCACTTTATACTTCTTTAGCATATTTTTTTATTAAGGACAAGAAGAAACTCATTCCT